GGTTTGTGCTAGCAGCCTCGGTGTTCAGTTCAACAAGCCAGAAGTGCCCTTTTCCACGTGTGTTTGCCCAAAAAAGGGTCTTGGAAGGGTTTACACCAAGTTGTTAACAGTGGTCACCTTTTATTATTCTGGAAGTTTTTCCTTTTCTTTTTTTTCTTATCTGTGATTTTATAATTTTATTCAATGAACAGGTTTTGTTTTTGTGGCAGGACCAAAAACCACAATTTTTTAAGTTAAAAAATTAAATATTTAAGTAGGAAATACATTACTAAGAACCGTTTCCTTAAAGGGCAAACTGTAAGAATAATTTCTGGCAAAAAATTCAGTCTTATTCTGGTCTCTAATTCTGCCCCCAATGCCAAGCCTCCTCCTGTCCCATCATTACTTACATTCCTGAAGACATTCTGTGTCTGTGCAGTAGGACTGGGACTGCCTCAACTACAATGAATAAGAAGAAAGGAAAGTTAGCCACTGGACTTAACCAAAAATGGATACTATTTATTAGAAAGATCATGTTTTGCTTTTTAATGAATGCTACTACGGTATATATCATACCTTCAAAATCAGATAAAAACATAGAATATATTGAGGGGCTGTTCAGTTTTAGGGGATTATTTTCTCCTCAACATAATATTCAAATATACTGTGATCTAGTGCAATTCACCTATTTAAATTAGGAATTTTTAAAAGTCACCTGTGGGTGGGTGGTGGTGGTGGGATGAACTGGGAGATTGGGATTGACATATATACACTAATATGTATAAAATAGATAACTAATAAGAACCTGCTGTATAAAAAATAAATAAAATAAAATTTAAAATTCAGAAAAAAAAAATAAAAAGTCACCTGTGACAGAAACTCCTGCTGCCATATGTTATTAGACTTCCCAAAGGAAAAGCACTTAACTGTAGAGGAGAGCTACTAGAAAAAGAGTAAACTTCGTTAATAAGGTTTTTTTCTCCCTGAAAATTAGAAGCCTCTGCTTCTAATAGAAAAAATAGGTTCTCTTTGTAGAAAATGCACCTTTGAAAGGAAGGCATTTTTTTTTTCCTTTTTGCTTACATCTACATAAACAGTGGTTAGACAAGGAAGAAACTAATAAAAATGATACCACAGGAGTTGGGGGTGGGATGGAGGAATGCAGTAGGCTCTGATGAGAAGGGATCCGAAGTTTTCAATGTCTATCTTTATATACAATTTAATTTTGGAACCATATGATTATGAATTTTAAAGATAAGTGAAAAGTAAAAACCCATCTATCAATAAACATATATCATCCTTTTATGAATGTTCACCCTATGCTGAGGGCTTTTAGGATGTTGAGAAATGATAATCTCATAAATCTTAAAAGAGATGATACACAGTAAACTGAATGAACATGCAACTTTTCAATTCAGCCTCATTACTTTATAATGACACCCCCTCTCCATTAAAGCAGTTAACGCATAACCTGCAATTGTTTGGGGAAGCAACTACAGAGCAGTCGTGCTTAGCTGGTTAAGCATGGGCTCTGCAAAAATGCAGATCTTGACTTAAAGTCAGGCTCTGCAACTTTCTAGAGTTTCAAGACCTTGGGTGAATTCTTTAACACCTCTAAGCTTTAGTTTCCTCATCTGGTAAAATGGGGATGATATTACCTATATCTGAGTACAAGTGAGAATTAAAATACACAGTGCATATGAAATGTCGTAACCACCCAAGAAAGAAGAAACGTTAGCTATTATTATTACTGTGCCAAACAAATTATAACCTCATCTAAAACAAATATTGGAATTAACAGAACAAATCATCTTGTAAGTTGTTCTCTAAGATGATCAGGCTTGCTTTGGTGTATACCACTAAAAGTGTTCTATTTGTTTTTTGGTTTTTGTTTTTTAAATATTTATTTATTTATTTGGCTGCACCAGGTCTTAGTTGTGGCATGTGGGGTCTTTAGTTGCGGCATGCAAACTCTTAGTTGCGGCACGTGGGACCTAGTTCCCTGACCAGGGATTGAACCCCGGCCCCCTGCATTGGAAGCGTGGAATCTTGGCCACTGGACTACCAGGGAAGTCCCCAAAGTAGTTCTACTTGAATTAGAATGGGAAAACAGATCTTAATTAATGTAAAAATATGCTGGGTAACTTAAACCTTCCTAAATATGCAAAGAATCAATCCAAAACCTCCTTAAAAATTTATGCATTCTACGGCTATTATCAAAAAGACAATAAATAACAAGTGTTGGTAAGGACGTGGGAAAAGGGAACCTTTGTGCACTGTTGGTGGGAATATAAATTGGTAACAGCCACTATGGAAAACAGTATGGAGGTTCCTCAAAAGATTAAAAGTAGCGTTACCATATGATCCAGGAATTCCACTTCTGGGTATTTACCCGAAGAAAACAAAAACACTAATTTGAAAAGATAAATGCAGCCCCATGTTTTCTGTAGCATTATTTACAATAGCCAAGACATGGAAATAACCTAAGTGTCCACTGATGGATGAATGGATAAACACACACATGCACGCGTGCGCACACACACACACACAGAGGAGTATTATTCAGCCATAAAAAAGAATGAAATCTTGCCATTTGTGACAACATGGATGGACCCCAAGGGCATTATGCTAAGTGAAATAAGTCATACAGAGAAAGATAAATACTGTACGATCCACTTATATGTGGAATCTAAAAACAAAGATCTCATGGATATAGAGAAGAGACTGGTGGTAGCCTGAGGCAGGGGGAGGAGGGTGGGCAAAATGGGTGAAGGGGGGTCAAAAGATACAAATTTCCAATTAAAAAATGAATAAGTTATAAGAATGTAATGTACAGCATGGTGACTATAGCTAATAATATTGTAAAAAATTACACATTCTAAAGAAATTGAAAAAAAGATTACTAGATCCTTGGGTCACAAATCAGACCTAATGAACCTCCTACTTCACATATACTTTAAGTTTTATTAATTTTTTCCCAATAAGTAATACGTATACACAGTACAAAATTCAAAAGTACAAAAGGATACTCTATGCAAATCTCTTGCTCTCTTCTGTCCTTCAGCCTCCACAGCACTCAGGTTTTTTTGTGAATCTCTCCAGAGATGTCCTTTCATTTTTATAAGCACATATATATCTTTTCCCATTACTCTTCCACCTCTAAGTAGCATTGTAGCGAATGTAAAACAAAAAGATTTATTAGGTCTTTGGATTGAACAAGTACTATCTAATTACTTAAGATATCAAATAAGGAGTAAAAATAACTTTCTTGGGTTTAGTATTTAGCAATCACACAGCATATCCCAAAATCTACAGCTGTGATCGAAATGACCAATGAATTATCAGTTCATTGTACATTACGTAACTCAAGTGCCAGCCCTGGCTTTTGGCTATAGCTCTACTTGAACTGATGCCCTTGTCTTCAGGTCTGACTTGTTGGCTGTCTGTAGCTCAATGATATCTACAAATGACATGATTTCCATGTGAAGAGCCCCCAAGTCTTTATATATCCATTTCCTCACAAATCTACTTCCATGGAGGGCCACACCACCAGCTCTAGGCTTCTTCTTCATGCTTCCATCAGTCTCATCCTCCTTCCTCAATGTGGGTCTACCAGATAAGATGCTCACTGTGTTCGTTTTTGACCTCCCTGTGATGCTGGCAGGTCTGGGTTTCACCCCACACCCTTGCAGTGGGTTTGCAGTCTATAGCCAGGGTCACCAAACTAAAACCTGTAGGCTGGAGGCCTATTTTTATAAATAGTTTTACTGAAACATAGCCACACTCATTTGTTTACATATTGTCTATGCCTGCTTTCACTACAACAGCTGAGTTTAGTAGTTGCCATAGAGACTCCAAGCCTAAAATATTTACTATCTGGCCCTTAAATTACTCAACACTACTGATAATGACAACCAGCTAAAGACATCTAGGAAATACCCATGAAATATGAGAAAAAACAAGTATTTTTGTGTAGCTATATAACAGTGTTCATTTAGAAATGTGAGATGCTCATTAATTATGTCTAGTTATAATGCACCAATCGTTCATTTACTTATTCATTCAAAATGTTTACTGAATGCCTACTACATGCCAAGTACAGTTCCAGGTACTGAGGATATGGTGTGAAAAGGACAAAGTTTCTGAAAAGGACAAAGTTTCTAGTCTTATGGATCATACAGTCTTGGGGGGGAAATCAGACAATTAACAAGTATATTATAAAAATGTCAGAGAGCCACACAGAGAAAGTAGGATGGCATACAGTGGCAGTCCAGTAGCCACTTTAAATTAGGCAGACAGAGGCAGTAACACTTAAGCGACTATCTACACAATAATAGCAGTAAAAGATCAAGGAGATGAGCATTCAGGAATTCCAGACAAAGTAAACAACTAGGAAAGGCCCCTACATGAAAAGGTGCCTGCGAGCTGGTGTTGAGGAACCACAAGGCTACTGTGGCTGGGGCGTGTAAGCAGTATTACTTAGCTGCTGTATTTAGTCAACCTCAGAACCAAATGCTCTCTAGATATGCACAAATCAGCATAGTTTTCTGTTATTGGCATTAGTCTGACTGCCTCCAATTCTAAGACGTATAACAGATACCTATATGTTTTATCAATGTGGAATAGGGGTACCTTCTTATTATCACATTAGAAATACATTTAAATACAAATATATTTTAATGATAAATTTATAAATTATATTACTTTAAATTGTAATTTAAATAATTCATTATTTATATTACATTATAATAAAAATAAAATTACAGAATACTTAGAAATTAATGTGGATTAATTCACTGACTTAGTACAATTATCATTATGTTTTCTAGCATTAAAATATGCATACTTTCATATAATTACAATCATTATAATAACAAGTATTTACTGGAAACTTTTATGTGGTAGGGACTATACTAAGAACTTTAATTTATTTAATCCTCACATTCAGTGGCAGGAGGCAGGTGTTATAACTCCTACTTTATGGATGAAGAAACGTGTTTGGGAGAGGTTGGCTAACATATCCAATACTAACTCCAGAGTCTAAATTTTTAATCTCAATTCCATTCTACTTTACAACATACAAAATTTTATATCATAATTTTAGTTAACATATCATTAGCATGAAACACTGTGTAACCATCCACAATTTTTTTTTCACAATTTTGAATGGTTACAGAATACTCCAGTGAGTTGATAATCAACTGATATAAAACTGAACTGAAGCAAATTCAGAGTAAAGTGAAAATGACCATAGACGTAATTACCTAATAACCTCTAAGATTAACACAGCCAATGTTTTCTTTCAGCACTAAAAGAGATCTCTTTCCCTTTAGGTGTCACCAGAAGGAGTAGGCTTCCCTTTGGGACTATGATAAAAAACGGTAATGTACAATTTGTCCTGCTATACAAGTTTCTAGAAAACTAATTCACTCACAATTGGTAAATATAGAAATGATGTC